CTCTCTCTCTCTCTCTCTCTCTCTCTCTCTCTCTCTCTCTCTCTCTCTCTCTCTCTCTTCCTCCCTTCCTCCTTTCCACTCTATCTGAAGATAAATGGAAAAATATCCTCAGGTGACGATTCAAATAAATATAAATAAAAGGCTCCCTGAGGTTAGTGTCCACCTGTCAGCTACTTCCCCCAACTCTGAGGTTGCCTGGACTTCCTCCAGACTCATGAAGAAAGGTTGTAGAGTGGCCCTAACTGGGCTGCTCCTCACTAACCTTTCCACATGGCTCAAACTTGGTAGGGCAGTGTGACCAGGTCAGGAGGACAGGGGCAGTGTGGTCAGGCACTCAATGGAGAGAATGTGGCCCTTACTACAGGCTGGTAAGTCAGTTTCTGCTAGAGTCTCCAACTCTAGCTCCCCCAGGAGGAATACACCACCAGTTCAGGTTGGGTGTAGCCACTTGTCTCACTGTAGCAGCCAGCTCAGACAGGTGGGGCCACCAGGACTTGGGCAAACAGATCATTGGAGGTGGCACCAGCTGGGCTGCAGGAGGTGGTGAGTTGCATTCCTCCCCTTAGCTCTGTAACCATGTCTGCTCAAGCCACAGACTGGAGTCTCTGAAGAAGATGCACTCTGAATGTCCCAGATCTGAGTTGTGTTCCCTTCCTCCAGTGGAATTGAGCCCTACAAGACAGGACCAGTGGGACTCGGAAAACAGATCAAGGAAGCCCACAGGAGAGGAGCTAGTTCCACACCTCCTCTTAGCTCCACAGCCGTGCCACCAGAGACCCTGATGGAAGGTTCTGATAGAGCAGTGCTCCAAAAGTCTCAGCTCTGAGCTACACTCCCTTTCCTCCATAGAACTGAGCTCAGCAGGATAGGACCACCAGAACTTAGAATGACAGACCAAGAGAGTCTTCCATCTGGTGTGGTGCCTGCCAAACCCATGGGAGGGGGGAAAGATTGGCCTCCATTCTGAAGCCACACAGTTCAATGACTGTTTGAGTTTCTGCCTATAATTTCTCCAGAAAAAGAGTCCACCACAGGTCCCTGTTGGGTGCAGCCAACAGTCCTTTCTGCCGGACTCGAGCTTGGCAGGGTGCTGTTGCCAGTATTTGGAGGACCTGGTTAGTGCACTTCCCCAGCTGCTGCTAAAAGAATAAGAGTGCCTGACCCTGGAAAGTTGACACCTTAGGGTAGTTTGGAGTGTTGACTCAGGACCAGGACCTCAGTAGCCAACTCTCTAGATCTCTCTTCGGGGCCACACCACCCAGACCTTCTCTTTATGACTCCTGTATACCCTGATTTGCCTTTCCTTTCCCTGAGTTCTGGGTAAGTGCCCGAGAGCAAGCTCTCGGGTCCTGGCCCTTTAGGAGAGCACCTGGGATTTTAGCAGACTCTCTCTTCTTCCCAGCAGACAGAGTCCCTACTGATTTTTGCTGCCAGATGCTATTCAGGATCCTCTTCCAGATCCTGGTGCTTTGGTTTGGGGGTCCCAGCATGGGCTCGAGTCCCCACACTCCTCAGAGAGGACTTTTGCAGTCAAGATATCCCTCTGGCTTCTCAGCCACTAAACCTGGGTGCAGAAGGCCAACCTTCTCTGAGTCTCCGGCCTTCTTACTAGTCTTTGTGTAGCTTCTGTAAATCCTTGGATATAATACTTCTGTTCAGCTGTCCTTCAGTTGGTTGCTCTATAATTAAGCTGTAAATCTGGTTTGGTGCTCAGAGGACGTGTGTGTCGTTTCCACCTACTCCGCAGCCATCCTGGATCCCCTGGGCCATAAGTTTTTGTTTCTTCTGTAATATCTTTTTCTTCTGTGCAACCTCCTCTTCTTGTTTAGGAACACTCTGCTTTTTCAGTAGAATCCTCCCAATGTGGCAGGGAGAGGGCATGTGTGGGTTCACCCACCCACAGGCTCTGCAAGTTCTGCACCGCATTTCAAGAGCTTTGTTCACCTGGATGATTCAAGACCAGAGAGTCTACATTGAAACCCTTCAATTCAGCATTGCTCTGCATTTTTAAGCATGTGCAGCAAAAATTCAGCACTCTTTTTGGGCCACCAACCCTGCATCCAGGCTCAGTGTTTTGTCTGGGCACACTACCAACTCCACCACTGTAACAACAGAATGACACAGATTGCTTCTGTAAAGGGACAACCTTCAAGTGCTTGGTTGCTTTTCGGATAGGCACACCCTTAATGGCCTGGGCAGTTTCACAAGTGTTCTTAAAGTGAACACGAAGGTTTGAATCTCTTGATTTGCATGATTTTGTGAGGTTTTCTGAGACAAATAAATAGTGAATTATTTTTGAGGTCATCTCAGGCTGCTTAGGGGAAGAGCAAATTTCTAGTTTTTAAAAGAAACTTGGAAATATTGATTGTTGTTTTTTGTTTTGTTTTGTTTGTCTTACCACATAACCAGAGGCCTTTAACACAAAGGGTCCTTGGCTTTCTTATCTCCCACTGCATTTTGTTCTCACCTCTATTGTAAGAGTTACCATATTATATACACTATAATAACCTGTTTGAATACTTGTCATCCCCACTACAATCTGTGAATTCTTTGAGGAAAGGGGTTGGATCTTATGCTGTTTTGTATCCCTGGTGCTTGATAAAAAGTAAGCAATCAAGAAATGTTTATTGTTGAATGAATGGCTGACTACAAATGACCCAACCAAACTTAGAAAATGCAGTAAGTTGTTGCCTCTTTGACCATGGTTCCCATACTCTCTTGGAGACATGGGCTCAAGTGGAATCAGGAGTTAGTAAAGTAGGGCACACTTGAACCTGCATTCTTAACATGATCCCTGGGTTATTCGGATGCCAGCACCCCATGGGACACACTGCCTTGAGTCATGAGCTCTGACTAAAGTAGAGAAAGGCTCCCTATTTAGCATATTGGATCCTACTAAGAGTAGAACCAGTCTTATAAAAGTGAATAGTTCATTAACCAATTTTTCTCTTGTTGACTAGCTCTTTGAAATTCAATACGGTTTTTATTCACAACTTCTATAAGCTTAAATTGGAATCACTCATTCCTTTATCAAGCATTTATTGAACACCTACTATGTGCCAGGCAGGCATGGGACTGTGAAAAAAAGATGTGGAAGACACTGTACTCAAGTGTCTGCTGTAGAGTGAGAGACAGACATGCCCACCCCGGTTAAGTGGGCAGTGTGAGGATGAGGGTAAACACAACAGACTCATCTCCTGGCACTGCCCCCCCACCCCCTCCAAACACCCCCCCCACACACACACATACACACACACCCGTGCTTCCAGCATGGCTACAGCTCTCAAACCTACCGGGCTCCCTGGCTTTAGAATGGATTTGCAACACCTTTGCTCCCCGCCTCCTGCCACCTACCAATTCCTCCTCCTTCCTTCGACATTGAGCTCTTAGGCCCAGTGCTTTGGAGAATATCTATGTAACACAATCTTCATGCACTTGCATGATTATTTCCTTAGAATACTTTCCTAGAAGTAGAATTTCTGGGATGAAATATTTGCAACATGTATTAAAGCTTTTGATGCATGTTCCTAGATTGCCAGAGATAATGTAGTTTAATTTTGGGCTTCTTATTTATTTTTTAAATTTAAATTTATTTTACCAGAGATAATGTGTATCCACACACCTATCTGCTCTACACCAAAGTTCCCATTTGCATTGCCTCATCCATGATTGTCATTCTTTTTTCTTAATTTATTCTCTTTAGATTACTAATGAAGTCATGGTGCTATGAGAATATGATACTATCACAGAATGCAATCACTATTATTTTGCTCTACCTATTTTTTCAATGCTTCATTTTTGGACACATAATATACATATAATTTGATACTCTGCTGGGTTTTTTAAATCTTATGAAAATATAATCAGCATGCCCCCTCCCTATTTCCTTAGAGTCTTTATAACTATAATTTTTTAAAAACTTATCTTTATTACAAGTCAACAAAAGGAAGACAGAGAACCCAATTAAAAAATGGGCAGAGGACCTAAATAGACACTTTTCCAAACAGGACATACATATGGCCAGGAGACATATGAAAAAATGCTCACCATCTTCTAATCATCAGAGAGATGCAAATTAAAATGATTATGAGATATCACTTCACACCTACCAGAATGGCCGCCATCATCAAATCATCAAACAACAGTGCTGGCAAGGATGTAGAGAAAAGGGGACTCTAGTACACTGCTGGTGAGAATGCAGACTGGTGCAGCCGCTGTGGAAAACAATATGGTGCTTCCTCAAAAAGTTAAAAATTGAACTGCCATTTGACCCAGTGATCCCACTTCTAGGAATATACCCTAAGAAGCCTGAAACACCAATCAGAAAGAATATATGTACCCCGATGTTCATAGCAGTGCTATTTACAATAGCTAAGATCTGGAAACAATCCAAGTGCCCATCAGTAGATAAGTGGATAAAAAAGCTGTGGTACATTTACACAATGAAACACTATGCAGCTATAAGAAAGAAAGATCTCTTACCCTTTGAGACGACATGGAGGGACTTGGAGAGTATAATGCCGAGCGAAATAAGGCAGTCAGAGAAAGACAAGTACCACATGATATCACTTATTTGTGGAACATCATGAAAAAAATAAGCTGTTGACCAAAATATATCCAGAGTCACAGAAGTAGGGAACAGACTAACAAACCTCATTGTGATGGGGGATGGAAGGGGTGGGAAGAGACAAACCAAAGAATTTATATGCATATATGCACAACCATCTGTAATACTTTCAACAATAAAATAAATAAATAAATACTAAAAACTTATCTTTCTTGTTGAATGAATTACAGATGTCCCCCACTCCCATAAAACCATTATTTTTAATGGTTGCATACACAGGTAGTTTACATACACACACACACACACACTTTTTTTAAAGTCTAATTTCTATTTCTCTTTCCTCAAATAATTGAGTCATTTCATTTTCTACTCTAAGAAAAACTAAAGGAGGTAGATGCTTTTCCCAACCATGTCCATTATTTTGTTCTCACAGGAACTGCAAAGCCGCCACACTGGCCTAAGCCTGTCTATGAACTGGACAGAAAGGATGTAGGAAACAATGGCTTCATCAATGACGAGTTTATTGTGTGGATGCGGACAGCTGCCTTTCCCACTTTCAAAAAACTGCACCGTCGACTCCATCGAATCCAGTATTTTACTGAAGGCTTGCCTGCTGGTAACTATAGTTTCAACATAACCTACAATATCCTTTTATACTACTTCTTTTTGCAATGAAGGACAATCAGTGTGCATCTGGGTACTAGTTATTTAATTATTCTAGTCTGTACTTTTCTGTTCTTCAATCAAATCTATTTATCCATGTAAAGAAATACATAGTTCTCTTATAGGCAATACTGCCTTTCCTTCACCACAATGACACTTCACTTCATTTTCTTACTTTTTTTTTTTGGTGGTATGTGCCCCTAGCAGGAACCGAACCCAGGACTCTCTGGTCCGCAGGCTGACGCTCCAACTGCTGAGCCAAACTGGCCAGGGCGACACTTCACTTCAAAATGACACCAAACACTATCTTTTAAAAATTGTTTACTTAAACACTATTTACTCATTCTGGTCTTAGACTTATTCTGGTCTTCAGACTTCATTTTAAAGTGTCTTCCTGATTCCCCCTGAGGCAGAATTCTCTGGGAGGCAGCATCTTTCCAGGGCTTGTACACAGCTTTGGGGTCAGCCCCGTGGCAACTGAGGGCTGCTGGTCAGGAGTGGTTTGTGGGACCCCCAGTAGACAGGATCTTAGCACAAAATACCTCCTCAGTTTCTTTACCACTTGGAGAGCTTGAATGAGAAATCTTGGGGATAAGTGGATGACAGCGTGTGCTCCAGGTCCCTGCTCCATCATTTCTATCCCAGCGCAGAGTGGGGACATTCCTCAGTCAGAGATACACCCTGGTGTGACACCATCTCCACCTGTCAGTTTGTTGCCTCCTTTTGTTTGCTGGCCAGGAGTATTGTTTGCCTTCATTTCCTTCCTTAGCAGGTCCTGTGCTTTTAGTCTGTGAAAATGAAAGCCATAAATTGCTCTATTATGCAGATCAAACAGTAAGCCGTAGCATGCTATCTTTTAAATAAGATTTCAGCAAAACCCTCCCCCCTTCCCAAATTGAGATCATTGAGATTGAAAGTTGCTTGACAGTGGTCTCTGGATTGGACCTTCTGATCCCATCAACTTTGTCTGTGATCACCTTTCCAGTAAAGCAGTTAGCGTTGCAATCAAGGAACAGGGAGAGAAAAGAACAGCCGTGATGAACTGCTCACAACGCATGACAGTGAGTTCGGGGCTGAGGGGAAGAGGAAGGGAGTCTGTGTTCCAAACAAAGGAGACACTCTGTTTCTCCTCTAGAGACAAGCTCTCCTTGGGTGACTTCAGTCACAATCATATTTTAAGGCTGATGACTCTCAAATCTAAATCTTCCACGCAGAACCTGTCCCGAGTTTCAGCCCTAGCCTTGCACTACCTGTGTTGGGCGCTGGTGTGGGTATTTCCACCCAGTTAATGGCCTGGCTAATGCACCCAGGGAAGTAAGCCTGAGCTGTGGAAAATGCCGACCACTTCTAATGGAGAAAAGATGTTCTTTGTGTGAGGAAAAGACCCTCTAATACAGCTGAGGGAGAGAGAAAACAGGCAGATGAATCAAGGTGGCACCCAAGGACCTGGTGACAATGAGGAATTTTGACATAAAAGAGAGAGACCTAGTTTCCTCATAAGTTTCCTTGTGCCTTTAAATAGCATGTTGCCAAGTGACATGAGGCCTTTTGAGAGCTTTGCTGGGAAATGCTGCTGTCCGGTGCCGTTGCTATGAGAAGCCTTTATTTGTTTATTAGTTTGGTTTACAAAAGGCACCAGATGTTTAAAAAACCTCAGACCACATGCATAATCAAAATGACATCATTAAAATGCTAACGATAGCAAACCCACTTCAAACACTTTCTCCCAGCAGTAAGGGATGCTAGCCTTTCTAAAACCCAAGCGAAGGCCCCGCCTTCAGTTTTCCCACCAAAAATATTTTGTCACATAGTTCACTATTTTTATATAATTTTATTGATTTTTAGAGAGAGAGAAACATCAATGTGAGAGAGAAACATCCATCGGTTGCCTCCTGCACACACTCTGACCCCAGGGATCAAACCCAAAACCTGACAGGAATAGAAACGGCCACCTTTCAGCTCACCGGCGAAGCTCAGTCAGCTGAGCCACACAGGGCAGGGCGATGGCTCGTTATGGTTTTGTTCTTCACTCCTATAGAAGAACTTTCCCTGAGGTAGGAATTCAGACGTTAGCCTATGAAGGACTTTAGCCTACCTGGGTTCCTTGATTCACAGAACCAAAATTTTGGTTTGCTTATCAATATTCTTTTGATTTCCTTGGGTTTAAAAATATTCAGTTTTTAGTTGTCTGTAAGTCATTCGGATCTAATTGTGTCAGAATCTCTTTCATACATGACAACTAATTTCATTCCAATAAGATACAACGTACCACTTGATGATGATTAGATCATATGAAATTGAATAATCAACCCTGCTTTTACCTACAAAATAGCAATTTGGTGTAGTTCGACCTAATGCATTTAGGATACACAGCGGTGGAGCCAAGAAGTGCGAGGACAGATCCTTAACAGACCTTCTTTCCTTAGACTTTCCAGTAACCAGATTCCAAGGAGAAAAGTCAGTCGTCCTCTCCACGCTGATGTGGAGTGGAGGCAGCAGCCTTTTCTTAGGTCTGGCCTACACGGTGACCGGAGCCATGACATGGTTGGCCTCCTTCTCCCTGATGGCGATCCACTCGATGCAGCAAGAAAGGGAAATGTTCTTACCCAGCTATAAAATCAAGCTTTAAAAAGTAAAGCATAAAGCACAGAAGTGGGCGGTGAAGTACCAGAGCCAAAGACCTCTGATGAGGCTCAAAATGACTGGGATATTTCACCAAGGGGACTGCACTGATGAACCAAGTTCAATCCCAGGTGGATAAATGAGTTTCAGAGTGAAGAGGAGGAGGAGGAGGAAAAGGCATAATATGTATAGTAAAATGTTGTTGGGGAAGATAAATTATCCTTGAGCTCTAAACAAAGTCTCAGATATTTATTTAAAGTCCTTGTGCCTAAAGACAGGTGACTGCCTAGGAGAGGACCACCACCAGACAGGAGTGAGCAGGCTGGGGTCCCCAAGATTAGGTAAGTCCGTTTACCCATCAACGAGCCTCAGACCACGGGTCTTTGTTGGCATTACTGTAGGCTACCCTTGAGCAATTGCTGAGCATTGAATTGAGCAAGCAGGATGAGTTTTCATAACTGATTTAGTCGATGTTCTCTCCTTTCCATGGAGTCCAAACTAAGTTTTCTCTGCTAGAAATAAGCCAAGCAAGGGTTATGCAGTCCCCTGAGCACACGACGCCGCACGGTCCATGCAGCCCGGAGGGAAGGCCTGGAAGTGATGACTCCCCTGGAAGCTGTACTCAGCACAGCAATTCTCGACTTAACCTTGTGTAATGTATTCTAGAATGCAAACCATGACATAAATTTATGACACTTGAATTTTATGTGTTGAGGGATTCTCAATGTCTGTCTTAAAAGAGCTGAATTCCTGCTAAAGTCTCTTACAGCAGACTCAACAAAGTAGTAGGTAAAGCTGCCAGGGCAAGAGACCCCATAGATTTGTGTACCTAGAGGACCAGAATATTATACTTTTAAAAATATGTTCATATTATTTTATTTTTTGAGTTGGGGGAAGCATTACTCTGCGATGACTCTTGGAATGTAATTTTCATTGTTAAAGAAACATAGACTACCAATACATGTTTGTGTCCTTAGCAGCCAAGAAAGCATTTCTTTGTTGCAACGTTCTGTATTCACCAAATAGTGGAGTACTTTTTCAAAATAACCCCAAGTGGTTTCAAGAAAAAACTCTGAAATTTTGGAATCCCTCCCATATCTCACCTTCCATTGGTAACCAGTAACCCCTGGTGACCAGGTGTGGTAGGCTGAATAATGCCCCACCCCCACCCCAAAGATAGCCATGTACTAATCCCCAGAACCTGTGCAGGTTACCTTATGTGTTAAAAAAAAAAAAAAAAAGGCATTGCCAATGTGATTAAATTGAAGAGATTGCTGTGGAGAGATTACCCTGGATTACCTGAGTGGGCCCAGTGTAACCACTAGGGTTCTTCTGAGAGAGAGAGGCAGGAGATCAGGAGACTAGTAGGAAACATGATGACAGAGCAAGAGGTTGGTGTGATGGAAGGAAGGGGCATGAGCCAAAGAATGCAGGCAGCCTCTAGAAGCTGCAAGAAAAATGAGAAACAGATCCTCTCCCGAAGCCCCCAGAAGCCATGCTATCATCTTGATTTAAGACTTCTGACCTCCAGAACTATAAGAGAATATTTTTATGTTGTTTTAAAAACTCAGTGTGTAGTAATTTGTTACAGCAGCAAAGAAAACAAATATGGCAGGGACTGGTAATGCTCCAGTCATCTGCGTAACTGCGGGTTCTCCAGCTTGGGCGAGCCATGCCGAGCAGGGGCTAGGAAGGAACAGAGCTCACACGCGAAGCCAGTGGACAGCAGACACTGGGCTCTCGCCTCTCAAGCACAGACTCCTCAATTACAGTGCTGACTAGAAAAAGGCTTAAAGACATTGTTGAGATCTCTACCTTGTTTGTCAGCTTATAGGATGCTGTGTTAGAGTTCTATAAAGAAACAGAATGAAAACTCTGTGTGTGGGGGGCGGGGGTGTGAAGATATTTATTTTAAGGAGTTGGCTCCACATGATCGTGGAGGCAAAATCTGATGGGGGAGGCTGCAGGCTGGCGGCTCAGGAAAGAGTTGCAATTCAAGCCAAAAGACAGCCTGATGGAAATTCAGGAAGAGTGGATGTTGCAGGTAAAGCCTAAAGTCTGTCTGCTGGGTAATCCCCTCTTGCTCAGGGGAGGTCAGCCTTTTGTTTTATTCAGCCCTTCAACTGATTGGATAAGACCCACCCACATTATGGAGGCCACTCTGCTTTACTTTGTCTACCCATGTAAATGTAAATCTCATCCAAAAACACCCTTACAGAAACATTGAGACTAGTGATTGACCCAAATATCTGGGTCCCATGGCCTGATTAAGTTGACACAGAAAATGAACAATCACAGAGGCATCTGCATCCACCAAGTAGTCAAGACTTTTCAGACGTCCTCCTCATTCACTTTGTGCTAGAGTTGACTCAATGGAAAGGATCTATACAAAATATAAGTGTACCCACAAGATAAATGTGAACAAAAGTGTAGAGTTAACCTTTATTTGAAATTTGCCAGCTGAACTACTTTGTGTGACAAATTCACAATGCTGAGGACACCAAAATGAGCCAGTAGTCACTCCTGCGCTCAAGGGACTTGTATCACACAGATCTTTGTGTTCTTCTCAACCACTCACACTTGCCCCACCCAGTGGTGCGTGAATTCCACACTTACCTTAGGGTTCTCTCCATTCCCTGAGTATCAGTCTGGCCTCCCCAGCAGAAGAGAGAATATGCTCCCACAGGGTAGCACTAGGCTTCCCACTCCCTGTGTGATCCCAGAGCACATAAGGCCGTGCTGGCATGGAGAGGTGTTCAAGTTGATAAAAACCCTAACCTTTCCCAGCCTGCACTAAGGCCTTCCTAATGAAGGCTGGTTTTTCATCTGGTTGTCTCATGGTGGAGGCTTTATTAACCAAATGTTAATAAGAGAAACCTGCTTCAGACTGCTGCCGGTGGTCTTCCTCTGCAGTGTGTCCAGCAGAATCGCACAGCACCATGGCTCACAGTTGTCAACATGTTTTGTCTCTGGGTGTTCATAAATGAAAGGGCTGCAGAGCAGATTTCCCCTGGCTTCTCCACCAGGTGCGACACAGGGGAGCCATGAGGCTCAGCCCCAGGTCCCTCTCACCAGCACCAGGTCAGAGTGTACTGCGCAGTCAGACTTGATTTGGCAAACAGAGCAGCGCCCTTCAAAGTCCTTATCACTACTAACCAGGTTTCTACATTTTTCATTCTCCATTGTCAGTACTTCATTAGCACTTCATAGTTAATTGCATTTAGGTAAGCCATGGCCCCCTTTTATTTCTAGCCCCATTCCTGCCCCCTTCAAATAGCCATCTTCTAAAATGATTAGAAGAGAAGGGGAAATTATGAGATTTGGATTAAAATGAGTCAGAGAGCAGCAAGGGGAGCTCATTTAAAAGAAAAATTATCTGCAAAGGGTCAGGCTTGTACAATGTGGCCATTCTAATCCTGTGGCAGGTCGTGAAAGGACTCAGAGCCACTCTGACAAATCTAGGAACTCTTCAAAGTCTGGACAGTGAAGTATTGTCTTAAAATGAATCTTCCTCTTTTGATTGGTGCAGAGCCTGTATCCTGCTTCCAGAAGCAGGATCCAGTTTTCTTACTCATTTTCACCAGGGTTGGAATGGAAACACTGAAGTCATCGCTGTGATGGTAAGAAACATCTTGTGGCACTCACTCGGCCAGCAGCCGGGGCAGACAGCGCGGGGCGCCTCTTGCTCCTTTTCTGTATGGAAAGCTTCACTCCACTGAAACCGACGATTTTAGTGCAGGTTAACATTGTAAAAATAAGTTGCTCTCTCTTGATTTTTTTCTTTTTTGTTTATAAAGATTTTTCCGTTTTTGTTTTTGTTTTGTTTCTTTATAACCAACATCCACAGACTGGCTATAAAAATGTATTCTTCAGTCTGAGGTTCGGAACTTTCTTGACAGGTCAGGGGTGTTCCAAGTGGTTTGTAGAAACTAGAGCCGCAGAATTCCCAAAAGCAGGTTGTGGTGCAAGAGACAAGTAGGACCTTTGTTTAGGGAAGGTGAGGACATTTTTGGATTTTCATTTTTTTTCCTGAAGCTGAAAAATGAGGACGGGAACCTGAAGGAGAGAATGGGAGAAATAAAATAAAGAAATGAGGATGGATGTAGTTTGCGTGCCCTGCCCAGTGAGATGTGCCTCGTGCGCATCAATGCGTTTATCCTCCACAATGGAGTGAGGCAGATCTGTTACCTTTCCAGGAGTCATTTCACTTACCTTCTTCCCTCCTCTCAAAGCCCACATCACATAAGTATAAAAATACTAGGTACATACTTCGCCTTTAGGTAGGAATGGCCACAGGACCCCGTTCTGACTATGGGAAATAAGAGAAAGTCCGTTGAGGGGATTTGGGGGAAAATCTTCTTCCAAGACAAAAAACAAAATAAAACACACACACACACACACACACACACACACACATGGGAAGAGCTTTTCTGTCACTTTACCTGCTCCCTGCTTCCTAAATCTGAATACTGTTGTATGAGGACATGATGTCTGGGACTGTAGCAGCCATTTTGCAACCAAGAGGTGAAAAAAATCTGAGACCCAAAAGCTTTCATACTGAGTATAGCGTAATGGAGGGTGGAAAGAGCTGGATTCTTCATTACATTGTTGAGACCACTGACAGCCCTGGAACCACTACTTATAGAGATATTTTTATGTGAATAAGAAACTCTCTTATTATTTCAACCACTTTTAGCTGGGTATTCTGTTACTTGCAGCCAAAAGCATCTTAGTAGATAAAATATAACTAGTTCCATTTTACTCCATTAGATGTGTTTCATCTAACAGGCCAGAAAATTAATTCACTAACCACTGCAGTGGAAGCAAAACATCATTGTTTTATAATCTGCTGGAAATCATCTCTTAGGCAGTCCTGTAGTTGTCAGCTTAATACATCTCCTCCTCACTGTCCTTCACATGGGGATGATAACACATAGCAGTCCATGAAGTTATCGTGTACCACAGATGGTAACCTTACTTCCTAGTATTTCTTGCAACCCAGGTGCT